AAAAAAACAACACTTCTTTATCACAAACTGCCCATGATGTTTCTGAGAACCATCAATCCAGGGAACAAGGGTCAGATCTAAGCCCAGCACTATTCAGACACATTTAGAGTCCATACTCTCAATGCAAAGAGAATTACAGAGAAGAAGTTGATCTTGCTTCATTTCAAAGGTACTACATGTATTCTAAATTGGCCTCTTTTCCCTTTTAGTATGTGCCTGGTGCCAGATGCTCAATGTGGTCAAATTCTATAGATGGTTTGGGATGGCTGACCAGCCAGACAGAAGTCACTCTGTCGTGGCAGGAAGCCAGCAGGTTGCCTTCACCTTTCCTTTTGGGGGTGGGTCTCTCACCACTTCTCACACCCTTACTGACAAGCTTCTTGCCGCTCACTACAAAATCAGATCACAGAGCTCATCACCCCACAGAAAACTATGAAACAGAATATATAATGCATGGGAAATAAAGAGATTCAAGAAAGAGAAAGCTAAGAAAGTACACACAATTAAGATTTAAAAACAAGACAAAATTAAAATACTGATAATAGTTAAAAGGAATGAAATGAGCTTTAATAAAGTAAAAGCCAATTATTAAAATGAAAAAAAGAAAACAAGATAAACAAGTAAGGCTTCTCCAAATTTCTGCCCAAGGAAAACTTAATAAGGTGAAAAAAAATTAAGATAAAAACAGCTTTTAGTAAACAAACAAAACTAATAAAAAGTTGAGATTAACAAAGAAAAAGATAAAATCCAGGATGTTTTAAATTAGTGGAAAATATACGGTAATAAAAGAGTTAAGGATGTACACTGGTACAGATAGGAACTGGGAACACAGGGAATCTAGGGCGGATGATCCCTTCAGGACCAGTGGTGTGAGTGGTGATACCAGGAGGGTAGAGGGAGAGTGGGTTGGAAAGAGGGAACCGATTACAGGATCTATATGTGACCTCCTCCCTGGGGGACGGACAACAGAAAAGTGGGTGAAGGGAGACGTCGGACAGGGCAGGATATGACAAAATACCCATTTATAAATTATCGAGGGCTATGAGGGAGGGGGGAGCAGGGAGGAAAGGGAAAAAATGAGGACCTGATGCTGGGGGCTTAAGTGGAGAGCAAATGTTTTGAGAATAATGAAGGCAATGAATGTACAAACGTGCTTTACACAACTGATATATGTATGGATTGTGATAAGAGTTGTAAGAGTTCCTAATAAAACGATTAAAAAAAATTTTTTAAAGTTAAGGATGATGAACCGATAGGAATAGCAACTAAAAGGTTTGAGGGTGGTGGGGAGGGTGTGAAAAGGGAGATGATGTCATGCAATCGTTTAGAAAAAGAATGTCTGGAAACTGATTGTGGTAGGGATTGTACAATTTTCCTCGACGTGACTGAAATACGGAACATGATATAGGTATTAAGTCCCATCTAATAATAATAAGTAAAACGTTAAGGATATAAAAATTAGTATAACTGTCATGAAAAAATTGGAAGGCTTTCCTTTCTCAGGAAAAAAATTCCTTGCTAAGGACATTAAAACTAAAAAGCTAAGATTAAAAATATAATTTAAACACCATAAATGAAGCAATGCGATGTGCTGAAACAGGACAAAGAATATATTAAAAATAAATCCCAGAGACACTGGGGGAGAGAGATGACTACGTTGTAAGGATCAGACAAAAGAGTTGTTTGAGCTGAAGTCTGAGTGAGGTTGGCATCCCATGGCGTTGTCTCCTCTAAGCCACCAGTGGATGGACCACTTTCAAATACTAAAAAGCAATACGTAAACAGGAGAGAAAATACCTGCATTGATTGAGCTGTGTCCTGTTCAAATTTCTTAATGTCCTCTTTGACAAGAATCATTTGTTCTTTCAGGAAAGAAGCTTCTTGTTTGAGGGCTTCGACATCTCGAAGAACTCTGGGCATGTTCTGAAGGGCCTGGTGACTGGTTTCTGTAACAAGAACCACGAGCAGCAGCATGCACCAGCACCAGTGCACCACGGGAAGGAAATGAGCCCGTAAAAAGGGACTTTCCGGAAAGCTTTACCAGTACAGTTTTCAAGGCCTGGGAAAAATGGGATGGCTAGACGGGAAGCAGGTGTGGAGGTGGTCTCCACTAGATCATGTCGCCCCCCACAACAAAGGGCTGGGGATCTATCAAGTTTGGGGTGGCGGGGGCACCTTAACCATCAACTTGTTCCTGCATTAACTGTTTCCTAAAACTCTGGTAAATTTTAATCATCCATTGAAAGGAAAAAGAGTGGAGGAATCTGGTACTCAGGGGTAAGCCTGCTTCCTGCAAGGTAGGTGCAGCCTCCTCCCTCTTACACACAGGTGCCCTGGTATCATAGTGGGTTAAGCACTGGACTCCTAAACCCAGAGTCAGCAGTTCAAACCCACCAGCCCCTCTAAGGGAAAAAAATGAAGTTCTCTGTTCCAGTAAAGATTGACAGCCCTCAGAAAGTCAACTAAAGACCAGACTCCTCTCTCCCCTTAGTGCAGTGAATGGAACCCTGACATGGTGAAGATGTGCTTTCACCCAGCTCTGGCATAAAATAACAACCTGCTTCCAACCCTGACCCCAGGTAAAGTTCTAAGTCTGGTCTGCGATGCAAACAGGCAATACAGAGATGCTGTCAACACACAGTGTCATTACGGCTCCCACCCCTACAGCTCAGCCTGGGGGGCTCTCCGCAGCCCACTCTTGATTGCATTTCAACTATCCCTCACCAGGAGAAAAGAGAGGGACGGGAATTAAGTTGTTGCCAAGTAAAAGGACCCACTGCGTATTGCCTAATGTTCTCGAAACTTAGTCTTTTCAGAATGTTTCCATAGTGAATTATATAGCACTGTCGGGGCTGTTAACCCGAAGGCGAATCGGCCCCTGCCAGGAGGGCTCTCTCATCGGATGAAACTTTGGGGGAACTGCCCCCCACCCCGGGAGCAGGAGAGGCCACGGCTGGGGGCGCCCAGGTGAGGCCCCGCGCGCGCGCTCACCCTCCACGGCGTGGTTCACTTCTTGGATGAAGAGCTGGAGCTTCATCACCAGGGTGGCCGCGTGGCCGTCCGCCTTCCCCACCGCCGCCTCCTTGGGGCCCGCTCTGAACGCCGCGTTGATCCACTCCTTCACGTCGAAGTCGTCGGCCAGGAACTTGGAGAAGTCCATGGCGGCCAGTCTCGGCGTGACGTCCAGGCCGTGAAAGGTAGCTTGGAGGGGGGCAAGGATGTGGACGACAGGGACCCAGCGAGGACACTGAGTGCGGCGTGCGGGTGACCCGCCGGGATCACCACCACCGACTCAGGACTCCTCTGCTGCCCCTTCCTCAGCGCGCTCCCGTCGAGCGCGGGAAATGACCCTCGCCGCGCGCCGTCCCGCTCCCGGAAGTAGGCGGCCGTTACCATGGTGACGGCGCTGTTCCGGGTGTTTACGTGTCAGAGAGACCGGTACTGACTACACGCTTACTGTAGAGCCTTTATATATATGGAATAGATATGTATTATCATATATATATTATCCAGGCAACACAGAGATGCTGACAACACACAGTGCCATTTGATATATATATATCAAACCTACTGCCATCCAATCTCATAGAGATCACAGGCAATACAGCGATGCTGACAACACAGTGTCATTTGATATATATATATATATCACAGGCAATACAGCGATGCTGACAACACAGTGTCATTTGATAGATAGATATACATATATATATAAAACCTACTGCCATCCAATCTCATAGAGATCCTGAAAGGGTTTCCAAGGCTGTAAATCTTAACCGAAACAGAGCGACTGCTCCGTGCCATCCCCGGAATTAGCCATCTAACGCCTCGCCATTGCGCACTCGAGCCTCACCATTCCATAAATAGGGTTATTCTCAAGGTGGAGAGAAGTTACTGGTGCAACGTCTCACAGCTAGGGAAGTGACTCTCAACTTGAACTCAAGCAAGCCTGCCACTAGAGCCTGCACGCTTTATGGTACCTTCCTTCTTTCCTTCATAGAACATCTGGTTCCCTGTCCCCCACCATTCGCGTTGACGTTTTACTTGCCTCCAGCCACGGTGACTTCCTTATATAGAGCACTTTCAGGCTTCAAAAAGTAAATAGGAAAATGGAACGAAAAGGTAATTTTCCACTAACTTTTTTAAAAGTCCCTGACTGCTTTTCAGAGGAGCCCTGGTGGCTTAGTGTTTACAGCGTTGGACTAATCTCAAGATCAGTAGTTCAAAACTACCAGGATAAAGATGGCGCTTTCTTTCTTTCTAAATCACTTTATTGGGGGCTCGTACAATCCTTACCACAATCCATACATCCATCCATTGTGTCAAGCACATTTGTTGCCATCATCATTCTCAAAACATTTGCTTCCTACTTGAGCCCTTAGTTTCAGCTCATTTTCCCCTCCCTCAAAATAATTTATAAATTATTTTGTCATATCTTACACTGTCCGACGTCTCCCTTCACCCACTTTTCTGTTGTCCATCCCCCAGGGAGGTTATACATAGATCCAAAGTTCCCCCTTTCCACCGCGCACTTTCCCTCCACCCTCCCGGTATCGCCACTCTCACCACTGGTCCTGAAGGGGAAGATGACGCGTTCTCATCGTAAAAATGTACAGCCTCCGAAACTCAGGGGCAGCTCTACCCTGTCCTATAGGGTTGCTATGAGATGACATCAACTCCATGGCAGTTTGGGCTTTTTGTTTTCAAGAACTTTTCATTAACACGGTCACACTGAAATCCACTATAGCCTTTGTACTCACTGCTTCTTTTGGCTCAAAACAAGGTGACACTTCAGATCGCCTGGTGGGGCCTTCCTGTGTCATAGGAACCAATTTATTTTTAACCCTTTGAGTAGTTAAATTGGTCAATGGTATGGCATAATCCACAAAGACTAGTAAAAGAATCCATTCGGTTTATCTAATGATCTCACAACTTTTAAGAGTTTTGATACCAAACTGTATAGCACTCAGAAGTGGAAAGACTCCTACCCTCTCATCAGATGAAGCCTTGTTGGGGGTGGGGGGGACGGTCAGGGAAGCCTTCTCTGGACGTTCCATATACATGGAATCATGTAATTTTTTCATTTAGCTTCTTTTGCCATGTAAATTTCATTTTAAATGTTTTGAGATTTGGCCATGTCATACAATATGATGAATAGTTGTCTTTGTGTCTACTGTATGGATTTATGTTGTTTATCCATTCACCATTAATAGATGTTTGGAACAATTATGAATAGTGCTGTATGAACACTCACATATGTCTTTTGTTTGGACGTTTCCATTTCCCCTGCATAGATTCCTAGGAGTGAAATTGATAGGTTCCAAGTTAAATTTAAACGTTTCTGGAGTGGCCATACTACTTTATATTCCCATCAATACTTAGAATGTAGTGGTAACTTGTCATTAGTTTTCAGTTCTCTGATAACCAATTATGATAATTAAGGTTTAGGATCAACAAGGTTTGTCAATTATCAGTATTAGGCTGTTAAAATCTAGCAGGCCCCATAATGAGATTTCCTCAAAGGGGTAGCCAGTTGTCAATGTTAGCAGATGCTGGGGACAAACTTGAGGGAGCAAAAACGGACTTTCTGAAAAATTTTGTTAGGTGAAGGTTTATAGCAAAGATCACGTTTTATATTCAGCAGTTCAGAGTTTCAACTCATCCATTGCACTTCCCTCCATATACTAATGCTCACCCCACTCCCTGAGTTCCCCGTTTCCACTCCTCCTCCTTTCCTAACCCTCTGAACATTGTACTTGAATGAATGCTGCCCCTTTGATCTTCAATAGCTGATGATTCAAACATGGGGCAAAAGGAGAGTTCCGTTCCAGGTCTGAAGTGATTGAAGACATGGTCTTGGGAGTCCCATCAGTCTTTGACCAGATCTAGCTTCCTTCATGACTTGAGCTGTTGCACATTTTTCACCCGTTTTATCCAGGACCTTCTAATCTGATCCTTGTCAGAGCAGTTGGTACTAGGCACCATGTAGTTCCTATGGCTTCAGGGTTGAAACTGGTATTCCTATGGCTCATTGAACTAATTATTTCCATCACTGTTCTTTCCACTGGATAGTGAGACCAGTAGTGGCAACTTTTAAGACCACAATTGCTACTCACCTTAGTAGGTATAGAACATTCCCTTCATGAATTCTAGTATATCAATTGACTTGGTGTCCCCCAAGTCTGTGATCCTTAGCCCTTCCCCCAGGCACAGTGACTGATTCCCTCAAGGTATGTCTAAAAAGTATTCATAAACCTAATGTCGGGGGTTTAAGTGGAGAGAAAATGTTTTGAGAAACGATGTACAAATGCGCTTTACACAACTGATGTGTGTATGGATTGGGAGAACAGTTGTATGAGCCCCTAATAAAATGTTTAAAAAAGAAGTATTCATAACTTTGACCAACAGAGTCTGATCATCTTTTTATTTGTACTGATAGTGGAATTATCTCCAAGCTATTTTATATTGGTACATGGAAAAAGCAACGCACAGAATGTTAGGACATGATTAGAGCAACTCAAGGGGAAAAAAAACTATCAGTGTCTTGAGAGAGTAATTGGGGAGTGGGAAGAATTTTCATCTTTCATACTTTAGTTTTGTACAAATACTTTCACCAGTAAAAATTTTAACATTAAACTAGGAAATTTCAAGTTTAAAAAAATTTTCAGACAACAAAATCAAGAGAAAGTCAATATTGAATACCAGGAGCTCTGGATCCTAGGAGAGGAAAGCTGAGTGAACTGAAACATCTTCACAGGGAACCAACGACTGATGAGCTACTGATGAATGCCCAGGGCTGTCAATGTGCAAAGGGTGGGCGGGCCGATCCAGAGTGTCCACCACAGCACACCACACTGGGAGGCTGACATGGTGGTGACTGGGCCAGCCTATTTCCCTGGGGCTACCAATTGCATGGAGGCGTCAAGGTCCGTTTAGCATTGGCATTTTCCCTTTTCCTTCTGTTTTTCACTGAGGTAGCACAGGATGGTGGGGTGGGGCTTATCTACTCCCACTCTCTGCCAGGATGACTATAGCCTTGGGCCACCCGCACTAGACATGCAGTTTTTTCTCGTTCATCTTCCCTACTTGGGGGGGGAGGGGCATACTTTCCTTTGGCAAAAATGAACTGCCCACAAATAATGCAAAAGGCACGGGGCTAACGGCCCTGCAGCTCACCAGAGAGGAGCACCAGAACCTGTCCAGAGGCTCCCACTGTCAAGCACGACTTTAAAAAACCGAGCAGTGTCTGAGTGGCAGGGCTGCTTAGGGTTGGGCCTTACAAAGAATTAAAAAAAACCACCACCCCACCCAGCAGTGGAGCTCCAGAGAAGTGAGGCCCACATTCCTGTGCTGTAGGGCTGCAGCAGCTGCTGTTACAGGCTCCTCGGTGATGAAGAAGTTGGCAGTACTCTGAAGTTACCAGGGTTGGCTTAAGAATTTTTTAAATTCCTTTTTCGTGCTTGTTTTCCACCTGGCTCTGAAGGTATGGGTGCCATAGCAAAGAGTGGTGAAGAATTCAGAGAATGCCCCAGCTATCGGGAAGAATAGCATCTGGGGTGTTAAAGGATTGTCTTCAAACAAGCAACCATCTAAGTTAAGTGGTGCCAGCTAACTACACAGAAGCACAGTCAGTCAGTCTATGTGATCCAAGGATTGGAAATAATAAAACCCATAGACCAGAGGAGGTACACTATTAAATTTTGTGCACCTATTTTGCAAAGCAGTACGGATAGTGAAAGCTCAAAATTAATGTTCAGGGTTACCACATGGATTACGCCTCCAGTGAATCCCCTGTGACCACTGACCAGGGATGTGCATAGCCATGCTGTCAGAGTACACTGGAAAGTGGATAACTGCAGGTGTAGGTTACAATTTAACAGCATATCATGTTTTCCCTTCCAACCCACTTTAAATTTTAGTTTCTAGTATTTTCTGCTTTCATTTCTATTGAAGTCTTTGTTCTACTTTTACTTTGTATGATTTGTATGTGGATTATAGGCCAACACAACTGTTAAAAAAAAGTCAAAGGAGATTTTAAAATACTTTAAGTGGAAGCTTTCTGACATCATGGTATATTTAGCAATGACTTAGCTAGGGGGATAAAAGGCCTAGAGCATTCTTTCCCAGCTGTGTGTGTGTTGACAACTCTATTTCTTAGGTTCACAACTCCTTAATCAAAGACTGAGCTCACCCTTTTTGAGGATACTTCCTGCTTTGTTCTGCTTGGCATCTAATCTCTCCAGGTGCAAAACACGAGGCTGCACCTTTACTCCAAAATTAATACCCTGGCTAACTTATCATTCCAGGAACCTGTCCTAAGTTAAAAAAGTAAGCTAGTTGAAAGAATGTTACATTCTTTAAATTTGGAAAAGACTATTGGATATATTTATGTATATTGGATCAATTTTAGATAATTTAAGACCCGGCTTAATGGTCAGATTAGTGGGGCTGCCAAGACTGGCCCTTCGTGACTGACCCTTCAGGTCTGGAACCACACTCACCCAATGGCTCACTTTTCAGTCGAATACACAGGTCTATGAGAGGAACAGTAACACGAGGGAACAGACAACCATTTGAGATCAAATGGCCAGCACATCCCCCAGATCAAAGTTCAGAAGGGTTAGGAAAGAACGAGTCATGGAAACAGAAGCACAGGGAGAAACGGGATAAGCGATGTTACATGATGGGGACTGCCATCAAGGACTAAAAATGTGTATGATTCTTGGAACCTTCACCCAATTCAAAATTGTATCTTTTTAAATTACATTTATAGTAATGAAGATTATATTTAGAATATTGCCTTTACTTTATGACTGTACTTTTTTACTTACACAAATTGTGAGCTTATCTCTATTTCCACAATTGCATTTTTAGTGCATAGTATTTGCCTTTCTTTGGGTCATTAAGCCATTCCAACATTATCTTCAATGCCCATTTACAAAAACCAATAGTCCATAAATAAGCTCACATGTGATCCAAGCCTTTAAGTTTATTGGGGAAATAGGAGGGATTAGATGCACATAGCTGGGGGTGGGGGGGTGCTTCAAAAAGTTCATGGAGAAGATCCTTTATCCCTGCACTTTTGGAAGCCCTCTTGTATAATTCCAAGAAATTGAAAAATTAAAGATGGTATGATCAAAGACTGACTGAATGTGGCTAGGACAGTGTGTGCTGTATGGCCACCTAGCAAAAACAAGAGTGACCCAACCCAAAGTTTGGTCTACATATTGAGACTGATAGTACACAAGTTTTATCATCTACAGAATCGAGGTCGCTGAGAGCAGGGCAGGCTTCTCAAAAAGGGGCTGACAGGGCTCTAGATGAAGGATATGTCAAGATAAAAATAGCTTCACATTTCAATGTTGTAATAAAAGTTTTCATGGTTTTCACACGCACGCACGCACGCCACCACCACCCATCCCTGTCTGAAATGGCTTGAGATCAAGAGGAACCTGGCCCGGGTTGTTACTGTAGTTAGTGGGGTGGGCTGAGTTACAGTCCCCATGTGCACGTAGGAGCTTGAATCTCCCACTAGACTCGGAAGGTGCTTATTCCTCTGTCAGATTAGGGCACAAGGGGAAGAGGGAGAGGAAGGGTTCAAAGCTTCAGCAAATATCAACAAGAGTCATTTTTGGTGCTCTAGTCATGGCAGATTGGCACACGAACAGGAATACTAGATTGTCTGACTTTTCAGTGTAAGCCTTAGGAAGCCATTCGGAACTTTTTAGCAGGGAATCAAGCACAGAACTCTTACTTGTTAGGGAATCCTGGTGGTGGCAAGTATGGCTTAGAGAGTCGGGGGGCCAGGTAGGCAAGTATATTATTTCTAAAAAGATAAGGACCGAGCCAGGTGGGTGGCAATGTGAATTCAGGGAAGAGCAAGATATGGTAGTACTTAAATCAGATGATACAAAATTACTGAGTGGATAGATTGGGGATCCACAGCCTCTAGGTCAGCGGTTCTCAACCTGTGGGTCGTGACCCCTGGGGGGAGGGTGTCGAGCAACCCTTTCACAGGTGTCACCCAATTCATAGCAGTAGCAAAATTACAGTGAAGTAGCAACAAAAATAATTTTATCTATTTGAGGGGTCACCACAACATGAGGAACGTATTAAAGGGTCACAGCATAGGAAGGCTGAGAACCACTGCTCTAGGTAGATGCTGGGTTAAAGAGCAGTGGATTAAACAAACAAACAAAAGAGCAGAGGATAAATTGTATTCTAGGCATGGAGTGGAACCTCCAGATGCAGATGTCCCCAAATACAGATGTCAGCAAGAAGGTAGATGGGTCCAAGACCCACCCAGTGGTTTTTAGGTAATACAAAAGCCACGGATGGCTTGCATGTCAACACTAAATCTTGGGAGGTCACACTTAGGGGCCAAAAGAGGAGGAGATAGGTCAATAAATAAGGGAGAAATGAACTAGATTAGACATAACGAGCATTTTAATAATGTGAAGAATGTAACCAATGTCACTGAAAAGGCCCTGTTTTCTGCTGAACGTATTACCAAAAATACAGTATTAAAGAGAGAAAAAGGATGAGTGGACTGGATGCTGGAAGGAGTTCAGAACGGGGAAACCGCTGGTCAGCGCCAAATTTCCCCCAGAGCTAACATCAACTTTCCTTTCTCCACAGTAAGGTTCAAAGGCAGGAAGTCGTCACCACTGTTGCCGCAGTTCCTGCCACAGTGCCTGGTAGCTGAACAATAAGCACTTATTGGCCAGAAAGAGGCGAGTGAGGCTCCAAGTGCCTCTTAGAAGGCATCAACATTAAAACCGCTGGTCAGCGCCAAATTTCCCCCAGAGCTAACATCAACTTTCCTTTCTCCACAGTAAGGTTCAAAGGCAGGAAGTCGTCACCACTGTTGCCGCAGTTCCTGCCACAGTGCCTGGTAGCTGAACAATAAGCACTTATTGGCCAGAAAGAGGCGAGTGAGGCTCCAAGTGCCTCTTAGAAGGCATCAACATTAACCAGGGACACTTTCAGGGCACTCCCTCCATCACCATGGCATCTTACCCAGCTAAACTGAAACAGTACCACAGGAGGCAGTCTCCCTCCCCAAGTCAGGTGAATATTCAGGCACACAAACCTGGATTCACCCCCAGATTAAGAGACCACAACTCTTGTCTTTTCAAAGTTAGACCGTCATTACATATTTTGGGGTGAAGTTCTTCATGGGCACACACTAGCGTTACGGAGGTGTATCCTAAAGCTTTTATGTAATATGTATGGAGCCTATACAAGCTACACAGAACACTTAAAAAAACGTAATTGTAGGTTAAAATAAATCTTACATGAGTTGTGCCAAATGAAATCACTCCATCACTGTTCTGAGTTTTCACATTTGCTTGAGATAGTTTCCCTTTTACAGCTCCCATGGCCACTGTTTAGTTTTGGTGGAGTTCCAACTTTATAGAGAAGCTTAACGTTCAGCCTCTTAGGTACCAGACTTGTGGTGAATTGACCTAGACAGAAGCTTGTAGTCCCCGAGGGAGAACCCAGTCCAGTCAGTCAGCTGCTCAGACTGCAAGGCCCTTCATCAGGGCACTTGGCCTCCCTCCATCAGGCTCCATCTCTCACTGACCAGGCAGGCCAAGCAAGACTCGGTTCAATGTGCAGATCAAAATGCCCAGCACATCATCAGTGCTCACAATACATGACTTGACTAAGCATGAACCTCTCCGTGCAACAAAGACAACCACCTTCGGATCAGACCACCTTCAGATCAGCAGGGTTTCTCTGGTCACTGAAGTATCTATCCCATGAGGTTTCACATCCTTCAGGAGGTCTTCTCCACATAAATAAATGATCATTTCCTCTAGGTCCAATCATGTCAAAACGCAACTGTATCTTCTATGTACTCAACAGCTCACAGAGTATATTTGCTACAAGGTATTTATTCAATGGTTTCTATATTTAGGTACCACTTAACATCACTGCTAAACTCTTGCCCTATCTATTTGCATTACAGTTCTTTACCAACAGGCAAGGGCTGGTCTGTTTGATAATGATTTACAATGCACACCGTCACAGTCAAAGAGCTCAGTAAATGCTTGAGGAAGAGGAGGGGGATGGAGATGAGGGTCCCAAAGGGTCCAAACAGATTGCCCAACCCATGGAACTTGAGGTCTGGGATCTGCTTTCCCCTTGGTCCCGAGGGAGTCAATCTATAGGCAGGTCTAAGGCACGGTGGTAAAGGATATGAATGGCCCACCAAGGGTGGTCCTTTGGTGTAGAAACAGTGCAGTAAGCATTCCACGCAATTCTCCTAAACACATGTAGGCAGCAGCATCCGCTAATGAAATTGGAGACACAGTTTTTCTTGGAAGAGAGTGCCCCAGGATACCCTCTGCACCAAGACCAACCAGATCCCTGTAAGGTCCCTGAGCAACCAAGACTTTCAAAGTCTGACAAGGCACAAAGCGGATGGATGGACAGATAAATACATGAAATAAACCTTTGGCGTATTAAACCTCCAACCTCAGGCAGGAACTGTGTCCATCAATGTGCAGAAACACGTATGATTGTGTTGGTGGATAATCGAAAATTATTCTGCATCTCACACATCCCAAGGCCCCCTCTGCCCTCCCCACACCCTCTCACACAAACAGCATCTGTAGAGTAAGTCAGAGAGCGGCGCCCAGAGCTGATGGCAGGAGAGAACGCTTGGCACTCTGCACAGAAATCACTGGCCAGTCCTGACTGGGTGGTGAGAGACTGGCCTAAGCTTGGACAGCAAGGTTCATCTTGTGAAAAGTTAAGCGGCCCCCAAGACAGCCAGGTCTGGGAAATCCTTCACTTCTCCTACTTCACTGAAAGGTTGTCCACCCTGGTTGAATGTCAGCTTATATCGCAACCGGATGGGCTCCTGGGAAAAGATACAAGATGTGAAATTAGTCAGGGTACCACAAAACAGCTCAGAAAAAGTCTGCACCCACCTAGCAGTTGCTAAACAACAGTATGTAGTTAACTACCACCCCACCCCCGTGAGGCCTTCAATCCACTGCATGACATGAACAGTGTTTGGGACATGGACACAAACAACGAGAGTCCTCCCATATGTTCTCAAGTCTGGAGATGAACTACAATGCAGACACCCCCTAAGAAAGACAGAGAAGACTCACCCTTCAAGATTCCCATGGTATGAGGGAAAGTTCCCATCCTTGGTTTCCAGCTATGGTAATTGTCATAGATCTTCCTTCCATAAACCCCAAAGGAAACAAATTCTGGCAAGGAATATTCTACCACCACCCACATGCAAACTGGAGACTTGAAAGCCCAATCTGTCTCTCTCCTCACTAAGTGTACTTCCGTAGAGTTTAGGACCCCAGTTCCTGTTACCAAAGATAAGATCCAGAACATACTTTGTGTGGATTTTCGAGCAGCAACATCTGAGAGATCATGGCTGGAGGCATCAATGGACTGAACGCAGGAAGCTTGGAGCTGGATGCTGGCTGCAACTTCACTCTCATTGACTATCAAGGGAAAATCCAACATGTAACCCCTTCCAAACACGCTACAGCTTCACTGGGTGGATAGAAACTTGGGTCCTAACAAGTCCTCTAGGAGAAAATAGGCTCCTGAGGTGACAGATATCCCAAGGCAACTAGGAGAGTCCAAACAAACTGCTCCCACTAATGGAGGAAAGGACCCACTCAGATCGTTCTCTGCACAAAATAGATCTAGTTGTGTGCTCAATGGCTGGCCTCGGAGAGGCAGCATGAGAATGAAGGCCCACGTTTGACTGAATTTTAACTCTGCTCTTATTACTGCTGTGAAAGTAAGATTCATAATTTATAAAACAGAGAAAACAACAGTCCAGGATTCACAAGATTACCGTGAAAACTAGAGAATGCAAATTTCTGTATCTTTTCCTTTCAGGACATGCCCTTGTGCTCCTTCTTGTGATTCTAATGTGGTCATTAACCAGGGGGTCTACTCCCCTTGAGAAAAGATGGGCTATTACACAAGTTGGTCACAGTACCTCTCCTCTTTAGTCTGGACACATGTCTTTGGTCCAAAATTTGCAAGAAATATCACCAAGGCCAACCATAGCCCTTTCTTGAGTAATCAATATGCCTGCCTCATATTAATGACAATGTAACTCTGGTAGCCATCTCCCTGCTTTGTAGAAAGAATTCATCATAAAACAAGCCCTAAGAAGCAGACTCTTTAAAAACTGATTGAGGTGATGATTGTACAATTCTTTTAAATATATTTAAACCTTTGATTTGTATCACACATGAAATACAAGTCAATAAAGCAGTGAGGCAAACCAACAAAACAAACAACAGAGTCTTAAGGAATCATTTAATAGCTATCTGATCTAAATTACACTAAAGCCAGATATCCAGGTATCCTCCAGTTAAAGAAGCTAAGAAAGTTCTCAATTTATCTTAAATGATATTGAGTGCAGATTCTAATCCTTACAACCACGAGTCCTACCTGACAGAACGCCAGAGTCCCATCAGAGGACCTGGCACTCAGAAGCAATAGTCATGACTGAGAACATCAAAGGCTGGTCAAGAAGATGACTCACCTTTGGCACAGCTACTTGAAACATGATGTCCCACACAGGCTGGGTAGCAGTGCTCATCATGGTCAATAGCAACACCTGCACCTCTGGGTGGCCAGGGGCTCCCGTCTGGGACAAGTGGAGTAGAATTCTGAATCCATTCCGATCATACACGATAA